TTTTTCCCCCCCCCCCCCCATGCCGTTGAATGTGCCCATCAACCCAACAGGTGTGTTATATCCAGTAGGCCTATAGATTCTAGCACAGACACACACAAAACAGCACAGAGAATGAGTTGTGCAAGCCTTGATATTGATAAGTCTCAGGTTTAGTTTATTTAATGGGCCGGGTGAAGGCCATTTCACACCATGAACAGCAAACAACAGTGGAAAAAAAAGAAGAAAAAACCCCCACCCCAAACCCCCCCCCAAAAAAAACAAAACATACGAGCTACACTAGATCTATGTGGTTATAGAACGAAATGTCAAGAGCCGAACACTTTTTCCCCAGATACCTACTGGTATCTAGTACTCATAATTATAGCCTAATTCTAAGAAGGCCATTTAATTTTAAAAAACAACAATAAAGAAAGACTCTACGGCAATTGTAATCAGTAGTTGGCCTACATGAGGAAACAAGTACCAAACACTCATGAGCCATTACCCAACCACACGCAAAGCCACCTGGCGTCTTGGTGATTTTATCGGCCTGCGAGAGGTCACAGGGGAGTCCTTTTGCTTCATGCCCCCACCGGGTTGGGGTTGAGAATAACGGGTCGTGAGCTATTCTCACACAGTTATTGGTGGCCTCCAGTTTCTAGCTCGGTGCAAACTTCTGTCAATGATCGACCGTTACCGTCTGATGATGCACGTCTGACGTTTCCGTGCTGTCTGGGTGACAGCTGAATGCCAGATGACCCCTGTTGCTAACGACTGGCGCTTTATCTGGTCTGGTTTGTTTTAGTAAGGTTTTACGGCGCTCACAACTGCATAAGGTCATATGAGCGCCAAGGGGGGTGGATGTCAACAGAGAAGTCAAAAGAGGGAATCAGGCTTACTCTGCTCACCTCTCTAGCCTCAACAGCACAAAGTCTGCTTCGACTATCATTATCAAGGCACCCCGAAAATAGCAGTTCACAAGAGTGACAAACATACAAAAGAAGTAGAGTAAAAATGACGATAGTAAGGATGAGGAAAGAAAAAGCAACAGTTCCCTCTATGTGGTTCCGGCACAGTATGAGCATGATATTGAAAACCATTTACAATTCTGCTGTGCATTAGAACATGTTAATACCCCCCCCCCTCCCTTTTGGGAATGGCCCAAAGACAACTTCAGTCAGTGGCACTGTCCTTGGTCTGGTGCTGTTGCGTGTGTCTAGTTGGCTCACGACTCGCAGTCACAGCCGTGATAGCACTAGGAGAGATGTGTTCGTGTTCTCCTACTTCTAAAGGTGAGGCTGGGGAGGTCGGAGATGCAGGGGGAAGGGAGAGGGAGAGGGAGAGGGAGAGGGAAAGGGAGAGAGAGAGAGAGAGAGAGAGAGAGAGAGAGAGAGAGAGAGAGAGAGAGAGAGAGAGAGAGAGAGAGAGAGAGAGTTTTAGTAGAGGTTTTACGGCACTCGCAACTGCGTAAGGTCACATGAGCGCCAGAAGATTAGAGGTGTTACAAGAGAGTAACAAACATAAAAAAGAAGAAGGGGAGATAAGGACGATAGATGTTTGATAGGAAAGAAGGAACAAACCACACCAGAGCACCCGCCAACCACCCACAGAGAAAGAGAGAGAGAGAGAGAGAGAGAGAGAGAGTAAGACAGAGAGAGAGAGAGAGAGAGAGAGAGAGAGAGAGAGAGAGAGAGAGAGAGAGAGAGAGAGAGAGAGAGGGAGAGAGAGAGAGAGGGAGAGAGTAAGACAGAGGAGACGACAATAACATTACACCACAAACGACAGTCCAGCTGTTTCAATGCGCTACAATACATATACATGTAGGCCCTTGGGTCAAAATGCTTCATGACTGTATTGTAGTTGAGGAGAAAGACATCAAACTTGAAACTAAAAAGTTGTGAGTTCAAACCCCTGCTCCAATCAGCAATCATGACTAAAACATGCACCTTGACTTAAAAAACAACAAGAACCGTAACTACATAATTATGGCACAAAAGCTTTCTTTAGAAGACAAATGTGACCAGCTTATGCTACCCCCACAAGTATTTCTTTTAACCAGTAAGAAGAGTAGAAAGAAAATGACTTAAACCAGAAGCATACGCTTATCAAATGTTTATTCACAATGCTTGCTCAAAGCAAAAATGTGTAGAAAACACATTGCCGGTCATGCTAAGACGTCATCCAACATTTCTCCTTGTACATCATGTACACATATAGTAGTAAAATAAACTCCATGAGTTACCCCTAAGGGGCAAGTGGCACCGTAACTATTTAACAGACTTACAATACCGTCGGTGACTTTAGCCGCCATGCCAAAGTATGCCCTCATTGAATAAAGTCGCCAACTTGACCAGGCACACTAAACATATCTCTAAACAACAAACGAACCCACTGCACCGAAGTAAACACAAAAGGAAATTGCTCATGTGATATCTGAATGGTTGATGAAACTCTTTGAATTTCTAAACACGAATATTCTACCATGGCTTCAGCGTTCCAAACTGGTGCGGTACTTGAGGGTTTTTATCCTACATGAGCCTTCGGTACTTTAAGGATTAAAGACCTTGCCCCAGTACATTGGCACTACATGGCTGGTGTTCATCTCTACTGTGAATGTGCATGAACACTGATTTTGACAAAGCATTTGAAAGAATCTTGGCCTCCATCGTAAATTTGGTAGCTCCAGCATCTCTATTAGAATGGTAATACAACAGGTCCTAAATTGGTAAATACCGGAATAATTGATAAAAATGGGCAGCTCTGAAAGAATTAAAACAAACTTTCAACATAATCATAGCTGATAACCTTTAAAAAATATCCCAAAAACCAAGACTATACCAACAGGGCAGATCAAGATGGTGAGCATTGGGCAAGTAACCCAACTCTTAAGTCTTCAAACATATTTTCCTGTATTCAATAAAATTCAGGATCAATAACATAACTGTGGTGAGCCACATGGTTACAATACTAGATTTATTTGGGCGTCATTCTCATTAGAATTCACAAATTGGGTATTGAAAGTGCATAACTTTTCTTAAGCAAGGCAAGTCTGTGAGGAGCAACACAAGAAAACAGAGAATACATATTTTCTGACATGAAAATGGACTCACATTCATACTGAGAACTCCAAAATCGTATTAAATACTTTTCTTACATACTTGTTCGCAGCTATGGATATTATACTGACCTTGTATTCCACGGGTCCTAAAATAAAACACTCTGCCAAGCAGGAAACCTTTTTCACTAAATTTAAAATTTTGACAGTCTGTAGCAAACCTACAACAAAAACAATATCTATGATTGATCCAGCAAATCTGTGACACACGGAATGGCAGTGTAGATTTTAAACGGCCCTTCCAAACACTATAACATTATTGCAGAGGCAAGCATCTGAAGATAATATTCATCTGTGATAAGACAGAGCAAGAGAGCCTTGAGTTGAACATTTGGAAAACAACCTGGTTCAAAACAGTTAGTGTGGGGGTCCAGACCTAGGTAAAACGAAACACAGTCCAGCACGATACCAACGGATCTTTAGGGGTGATTCCCAACTAAGATATAGCTATGGATAGAGGAAAGTAGTTCATCTGAAACTAACTTTACATTGCAAAACACTGTCTGTGAATACTTTATGAGCAGGCAAAAGTACTATTGGCATAATGACAATTTTTAAACCCTTCTTCTTAAAAGACACACTTATTTTTTTTCAATTTCACTAGAATTTCCCCAGTGCATCATTTTAAGCAGAGCACTCTTAGCGCCACTGTAACGAGCAACATCTTCTCTGAAGCAATCTAGACAGCAACACTTCACTTCAAGCACAAATTGACCGCTCAGCGTACAACACCATTCCATGTCACTTTTCAAAACGCCGTATGGCAGAGTCCTACACTAACTAAGCAGTCAAAATGACATTCTTATTTCTTCACAGCAGGTCAACAGTTCACAAAATGACATTCTTATTTCTTCACAGCAGGTCAACAGTTTACAAAATGACATTGTTATTTCTTCACAGCAGGTCAACAGCTTACAAAATGACATTCTTATTTCTTCATAGCATGTCAACATCTTACAAAATGACATTCTTATTTCTTCACAGCAGGTGAACAGTTTACAAAATGACATTGTTATTTCTTCACAGCAGGTCAACAGCTTACAAAATGACATTCTTATTTCTTCATAGCAAGTCAACATCTTACAAAATGACATTCTTATTTCTCCATAGCAAGTCAACAGCTTACAAAATGACATTCTTATTTTTTCATAGCATGTTCTTATTTCTCTGTAGCATGTCAACAGTTTATTTCAACTTTTTGTACTAAGACTTCAAAGGTACTCAAAGGAACTGAATGATGTGAATGACAATCAGACCATAAGGATTTCCTTGGACCAACAAAGGCTAAAACCTTGAGCATAGTAACTTATTCGCCTACACAAACATAAAATGGGTCAGTTTGTATTCATGCATGTGGCTCCTCATAGACGATTGACCGCAGAATTGACATAATGAAATCCATACAAAAACATTTAACAGCAGAACAACATCATGTTATTCGTACAGCTCAAAGTCGATTCTGGCAGAGTTGTAGAACTGGCTCCCCGAAAGATGCTTGCGACAGAACACACCGTTACCGAAGGTACCATCATCCGCCCATCCGATCATCTGTGCTGTCGTGAAGGGACCTTTGAGCTCCGCGTCCTCCGTGTTCTCTTCCTTGTACTCCCAAAGCACACCACTTGTGCCTTCCAAAACTGATGTTGCTGTGGCTGATGACGACTGGGAAGAAGATGACGAAGACGCAGATTTTGGCGCCACCAATTTGGGTTCTGTGAATGAAGCAGAGCACAGAAATGTTACAATAAAATATCCAGAACTTTAGCATCAGGAGAAAGTGTATCTGTGCAAAGGGGAGGGGGGGGGAGTGTGTATTTAAAACGAACACACAAAGAAGTCATTTCGAAATTGCAGATCTTTGCTCAGACATTACAGTGTTTAGACCTGCACGTGAGCCTAAACCAGATTGTCTGAAAATGAAAATTTTTCGTGCACCACCCCCCCCACACACACAAGAGCTTTTGTGGGTGTCATAAAAGGAAGGACTTCCGTGTAACGAGTGACCACCCCAACAAACACAATAAAGAAGAGACCTAACCCTAACCCAAACCCTACCCCAAAAAAGAACCTGCAACGGCCCTCATGTTAAAAGGCATAAGTCAAAAATAAATGAAAAAAACCCACACACACTCCAAAACAAAGAAGGAGCATAATATGGCTTACATTGCTGTCTATAGGCCTAATAAGGTTTGATACAATTATAACACAATAAAATTGGAATAATTATGAATCCTCCGTATAGTAATCTAAATAAATCTAGATCTAGATCTAGATTCTAGTAGAACAAGTGAATAGGAATGGGCCTTGAAAAAGAAATCTGCCGATTATGAACAGAGGGACTCAGCTGAGTCTAGAAATCTAGATCTCTAGATCTAGACTTCTACATCTAGTCCTCAGGCATAATTTACACACCTGATGAAATGCTTTTTACCAAAATTAATATTACAGCACAACCTATAATAGGGTTTGACACAATAGAACTAGAATATGAATCCTCCATTGAGGTCTGTATACTATAATGATCGATATAAATCTAGATCTAGTAGAAAAAGTGAGTCGGACTTGAATGAATCCTCATGATCTGAACAATCAGTCAACAGACGAAATTCAAAATGGCCGCTCTGAGCACGAAACTGAAAGTAGATAATTTAAGTCGTCGTCCTTTTTCGTATTCGTATTTTTACTCAGGTTCCGACAATTATGTCGGAAACGCCGACGTCGGCATGAAAACGAAAGTGCCGACAAAGCCGACAGGAGAAAAAGGGGGCGCTGGCAATCGGCCAGGCCTCGCACTTCGCACATTGACTAATACAGGTGGGCCTAGCGATAGCATTGGCTGGCTCGCGGGTTGTGTCATGATTGTCGGATTTCAGACGATTGTCAGCAAAATGCAGGTCTAGGTTTTAGAAAAAATAAAAAGAAAAGAAAAAAGACAGAGAGGATACTCTATAGAAAATAAATTATGAACACAAAGCTAATCACAAACTCAAGACTACAGACCCTCATCCCAAAGATTTATGTTACTTTCTGGAAACCACTATGACAATTCCAGAAAAAGTATATTTTTTAGTTTTAGTTTTAGTAGAGGGTTTTACGGCGCTCGCAACTGCATAAGGTCATAAGAGCGCCGGAAGATTAGAGGTGTTACAAGAGAGTAACAAACATAAAAAAGAAGAAGGGGAGATAAGGACGATAGACGTTTGACAGGAAAGAAGAAGCAAACCACACCAGAGCACCCGCCAACCACCCACAGTATATTTTCAGACAGTGTCAACAAAAAGGGAATGCTATGAGGGGGCAACACGCTGGGTAAGGTGGATAGACATACAAGGGGATACAAAATGCTGGTGTGGAGAAGCAAGCCACACTGGAATACATCTGTCAGCAGTGCAGGACACACAGAGCCCTGAGACATGAAACGTGCCCCACCTCCCTGAGACATGAAACGTGCCCCACCTCATTGACACTGCAGGAGAAGTTGTACACGCAGACAGAAGAACCGAGCAGGACGGTCCAGTACATGGCAGATATGGGACTTAATGTGAGATGCAATCGAGAATCTAAGTTGAAAGAGGCAAGGGGATGCACTTACTCTTGAAGTTATCAAACTTCTCTCCATCCTCCGCAGAAGACGTTTTCGGCTCTGAGTCTCCATCAGGGCCTTTGATCTTCTCAGCCTCCTTGGAATCAAAGTCGTCAGCAAACATGTCTAGGGCATCATCATCCTTCATGCCTTCTGCTATGGTTAGTTTTGAAGCCTGGAGTGAAAAGAGAGGAAAAAAAACCCAGATAGAAAGCTTGCTAACTTACTCCTTTCTTATTCAGTCAAGTCAAACTTGAGAAAAAGAAGTATAATATTTTTCTCCTTTTTAAACTGTTCCAAGATGAACAAGACTAGCGAGTAGAATAAAACTCAAGTTCCATTTCTTCTTCAACAGTTTCAATACGAACAGGGTTAAAGTTATTTCTAAAAAAATTCACACTTTCTTTCTCTTTCACTTGTTTCAAAGAGACCAACTCGCTCCCTTCTAAGATCCTGCTCTGAAAAACAAAGCTCTTCTTTCCCAAACCTCCATTCATGAGGAGAAGCCTGATACCACAAAAAATTTAACAACATATTCTTAAAAATTGTCTACAAAAGTAACCAGATACGATAAATATATCAAAATAAACTGCACAAGACGGATTATAGAATAAAGAGTTAATTCAAATAACAATCAGTGTTTCCGATCCCCCCTCCATCGTCTCGTTGGTCAAAGATAGTCCACACATCAGTTCTAGTTTTTTCTTCCCTTTTCAGTATTTTTCATCAACGCCGTCTGACTTAACAGCTTTATCTAGATCTTTACCAATGTCCGGTTCCAGGCATTACCCTGTGATTCTTTTAATTCTCCCCTTCATTGTTAAGATAACCATAGATATCTATCAATAATATCTAGATTGAAGCTTCACTTGGGTAAAATGTTAAAGTAAGAAATCAGCGACAAAAAGAGTCAGATTCAAGCGACCATAACTTTTGTTCTAGCTACATGACAGCGAATAAAAAAATATCTGCAGAAACCAGATAACCTCATCAAACTGAAAGTCAACTGACAAAAGTTACTTGTGAGATTTCCTGTATGCTTAATTTCACCACCGCTGTTGCATGCCCAAAACTAAGAGGCAACAATGGTTGATCTAGGCAGAAGGGACAGTTCATGCGGCAGTCAATTTGGTAGATCTAGGTGGAAAATGGGGAAGGAAAAAACTTCATCTTCACTTTCTCCTTTCAACAAATCAAAGTTATGAAAATTGTTAACAACCTTCCCATCTTTCTCTTTAAATGTGAATGAAACAATATATATATATATATATATATATATATATATATGTGTGTGTGTGTGTGTGCAACTATATATATATATCTATGCCATAATAAAGAAAAAGCCTACCTTCTCTTTCTCCTTCAACTGTTTCAATGTGAATGAGATTCTCTCGTACGGCGTCTCGTAAATCTCCACCATGCCCCGGTGGACCAGCTGGTCCGATAGCTCTGTCAGCCGCAGCATCTGCTTCTGCTCCGACACCGCTTGGTCCACAGCTGACTGGTCAGCCTCGGACAGTTTGCCGGACGCCTTCAGTTTTTTGTTCTGCAAAGCAGGTCAGGAAAACATACACGTCAAAATATGAAGAGAAAAAGAAAAAACGGTTCCATTTTTCTTCATTCTGAAGTATAACACGCGTAGGTCGAACACAGAAGGCTTGAAATGAATGCATCCGTTGAACTGTGCCTGCGGTCCCGCTTGAAAAAAGTCTTTATCTATTTAAGATATCCCTCAAACTACAGAGGTAGGTCCCAATGAATTCGAGCTATCAGTGTTATACTGCATTTCTCTTACATATCAGGATAGCACACATTCATTAGTTACAAAACATGCTTTTTATAGTTTTAGTAAGTGTTTTACGGCACTTGCACCACAATAAGGTCAAATAAGTGCCGAAGATTAGAGGTGTAACAAGAGGGTAACAAACACAAAAAAGACGGTAGGGAGATAAAAACGATAGACGTTTGATAGGAAAGGAGGAGCAAACCACACCAGAGCACCCGCCAAACATTCTTTATTAAGAGAAGATGGGGTGGACTGGTGAATCTCACAGTAAATCAGCTGGACACAACTGGTTGCCTCTAGATAACTTACATACAATATTGTATTGTCAACAACTTTAAGAAGTAATTAATCAAAGCAGGGACCGCGACAGGTGGTGGTCTATTGAGGCAAGGAATCAGGCACAAACTGATCTCTCTCTCTCTCTCTTCTGGCGCTGTGGCTTCATAAACGGTCAGCGATGCCGACAGCGCGCAGGAACTCAACACTCGCCCGGGGGTCCTTGAAAAGTGCTGAAAGTGGGTTACTGAAATGTCCCAGCAGACGGGTTCTAGCACGATAGCTGGCGGGACATCTCAGGAACACATGGTCCATAGTTTCGTCCTCCTCCTTGCAGGCTCGACAGGACGGATCTGGGTTGTCTACTGGCGCAATTTTGTGGAGATATGATCTCAGCTTGGGCAATTTTCCACCAGTTCTCATTTGGGAGAGAAGCCGGCGGTCCTGTCATCTGAGTGAGGCCTCAACCTGGTATGACGGCGGCTGGGCAAACGGGCACAAACTGATGGACAAGGCCATGGGGACATGTGAACTAACTCAGTCAGTATGACAGATAATCACTGTATAATGTTAGTTTCCGGGAAGTTGAGTGTATGCTTCAGAATTCTATCAGGTCTGCTGGGGTAATAATACATATATTGATAGCAAATCACACAGAGCTTGCCGTTGAGCGGGAATTTGCACTATACAAACACTATCTCAATTATTATTACTATCATTTCTTACCTTCCATCTCTGGCTGGCTGAAGGAATCTTGGCCCTGTTCTTGCCCAGTCTGCGTATGGCTTTTCCAATATTCTCTCCTTCCTGCACAATAGTCAAGACTTCTTCGTAGACTTGTATCAAATTTGTTTTCTTTGTGTCCTCATCACTGTCAGAGTCATCAGAGTCGTACTGATGACAAAAATCAACGCACAGAGGTTACAAAAATACACAATCTCAGGATAAATAAACGACATACCTGATAAAATTCCATTCCTTTTCTTAAGAAAATCCTGAAATATTAACTAGATACTCAGCAGCCAGATGCCAGTTTTCTTTCATCGTCGAAATAGACATCGATGATAGCTGCGCTCGAAGAGATTACAAAATACTTTTTCAAAGGATCACATGCGAAAAGTTTCTTGAAATGTCTGAAGTCATCCAAACATTTATTGAGTTTCAGTAGATGACAAGTAGTTTAGAGTGGTTGCTTGGAAAGCAGCGTGGCTGAGCGCTCTTCCCATGACTATCGCTATCACCAACTGTTTCCTCTTATCTGTGCCCGACCCACAGGTGCACATCAGTACAGCGAGTCGGCCTTTCTGCTATTATCCAGCTAAAACAGTCATGTTTTGTCCCCTTGTACAGGGTGCCCACTACGGCTGGATTGGGCCGATCGCCCGACTCGATCGCCTGAAACTGAAAACAAACACGTTTGTTTTTGAGGCGATCGAGTCGAGCGATTGGTATTACGCTAGTACCGCACTACGACAATCTTGTCTCGGACAGGACTGTACTGTCCCACTGTCGATATTTTGTAAGTCAAAACAGAAACCGCACTAGGACAGGACTGATCCGGCGTATAAGGCAGCTTTTTTGTTGCTGCCCACGGCGGGGTTAAAAATGAATTAAAAAAATTTCCTTAACACTGTCCAAATTTTAAAAATAAGATTTTTGTGATCAGCGACCCAAAATTAGCAAAAATAACGAAGGGAACGCAATTTAATGCCCGATTACGAAGTTAAATTGTATATATTTGTGTGTGTTTGTGTGTATGTTTCACCGGGTCACCTTGATACACAACTTCACCATCGACGATCAATTAAAAAATAAAATAATTTGCTAGAATTTACATAGTATCGCACCAAATCAGGTTCCTCTCGAGTCATTTTGCTTATTTTGAAACGCTGGTTCGGAATATGAAATCAGCTTTGAGATGCAATAATTATTTAAAAAATTTGTGCCCCAGGTTTCATCCTGCGCGGCGGCAAATTTTAAAGTGATTATACGTCACAACGTGCAAGCCCCAAGATCTCGACAGCAGGTGCCACCAAGTCTGGGACAGTTCTATCCCAAAACAGTAGACGGCTCTGTTTCTCTATAATCAAAGACGATAATACTTCGGGACTGGGATAGTCATGTTCCACCGATTTTGTAGCAATTCACAACTGCTCGGGACTCAAATCGACAAGAATGTCCTGTTGTAATAGGTGCGGTACATTACACTCTAATTCAAAGGTTTCAAACTCCAGGCGGGTTTGTCCCAGGACAAACTGTTGTAGTGTGGTACTAGCCTAGTACCCTCCTATCCTCAACATGAATGGCCTCTTCTCAGGGTAGGCAGACAGTCCACAGACACCCCAGTCCACAAAGCCAGGTACTAGCCTTACTGGTAAAAGTGACCCCTCAAAGGAGGTAATAGCAATCACTTATAAATAAATAACAAGGAAATAAGATGGATGCGTTCCTTTCTGCCTTTGCAAAGGTTCTCGTAAATGCACACTCCTGGTACACACACACGTTTGGGAACCCTTCTGAGCACCTTGCGTTTCCGTACCTGGAACGGGCGTTTTGTGCCGCCTTCTTCATCCTCCGGCTTGTTGTGTTTCACCTTCACCCAGTCAATGTTATCAATCCAATTGTCATGGAATTCCTGCCAAGAACACAAAAAAGAACACTGACACACATTTATCAGGGCAATGGTAATAATGACTTTTCTAAAAAAAAAGATTTTGTTCAACAGCACCAAAGAAATGAATGCCACCAAAGCAGAACAGTTTGTAAATTTGTAAAACTTGAACAACAGATAAAAATCGTAGGTATTCATGCCAATTTTTCGGTAAAAGTCAAGATGACGGTAGAACAAAAGACCACCAAGACATATCAAGCAACATATTGTATTTCAATTCTAAATTCACGCTTGAGAAGCACTCTTGAAAACAAAATTAAGTAGACAAACAGGAACATACCTTTGTCTTATCAAAAATGTAAGTGCCATCAGAATCAAAATGTCCCTCTTCCATCTCCTCACGCATGTTGAAAGGAGTGATTTGAATCTCATCGTCAAAGTCTATCGTCGCCTCCTCTTGCCCTGGAACAAAAAAACCCCAAAAAAAACTGAGATTGGACATTCATCATCATCAGTGCCTTTCACCCCTGGCAGGGTATAGGCCACATACAAGCTTTTTGCTTGTATGTGTTTCTGTAACAGGTTCTTTTTACGAGAGAGGTCGTTACCCTCGTGACTCAACCCCCGACTTGGAGGGAGGATGACTCTGTTTCGGGAGTCACTACCTGGTTTCGCCATTTAGTTGCCACCTACGACACGCTAGCACCACGTCAGTCCTATTCTTCTCAATGTCGGAACTGCACGGCAGGAGATTGGACATTAAAATTTGAAAATTTAAGAAAGAGCAAAAACAAATCAATTTAAGTCTAATACTAATATTCTCTCTCTATAAAGCACTACAGTGGGGACCATTTACAACGGGTCTGACATGATCTCTCTGTCACTTTATAGTCGAACTTAATTACAGACAGTGATCAAGTTATATTATCTTTATTCTGAAAGTTTGTCACTTTGGTCGCTTCCAAATTTGAACAAAAATAACGGTGGCTCAGAATCATTTACAGGGTGCATAGTTAGGAGTCTGAAGTCACTGTAGTTTAATTTTTAGTAGTTCATCAGTTTCATTTAGATCTAATTTTAGGAAAGTCTGTCTTCTAAGCTGCCATTGTAAACGAGTGTGGGTTCCGTTCACATGCAGTGCACACTGATTCCACAAAGACTTGACGATCGATTCTTTTGAGTCCGTTCATCGAAGGGATACTCAGCTAGTATCTTATACTTATGGTAAATGAATGGGATAGTTTTTATTACATTGATTACCCACTGCCAATTTGTGTACTACCAGTTATTTTTCCTTTCTTTTCCAGTGATATATTTTGGTTCCTCACATTTATCTTTCTTTTTCTAGTTTCTTAGTCTCATGAAGGTTGACTAGACATCATTTGAGATGCACAGACAGCATAATTTAATACAGTCTAGCACAGATGACTCAAACACATTCTTCTTCTTCTTCTTCTTCTATCCCGTGGTTGGGGCAACCGTTGGGGCACCACTGCATTGGAAAACCAGCTCTCGCCATCTATTTTTGTCCTCTGCTCTCCTCAGATTGTCACCCATCGTCTTTCCTGTCCACTCTGTAATGTTGTCCTCCCATCTCCTCTGCCTTCCTCTTTTTCTCTTTCCTTGTACGGTTCCTTGCAGGATTGTTTTGGCAAGTCCTGTGGAACTTGTGACATGCCCATACCAATTTTAGTTTTCGTCTCTTCACTGTGGTCAGTAGATCTTCATATTGTCCCACTGCGTTGGTGATTCTCTTTCGTACTTCAGCATTTGAAACGTGGTCTTTGTATGAGATGTTAAGGATTCTGCGGTAACATCTCATCTCTGTGGTCTGAATCTTTTTCTCTAATTCTGCTGTTAGTGTCCACGACTCGCAGGCGTATAAAAATATTGAGATGACCAGTGAGCGCATTAGTCTGATTTTTGAGCTGTGCGTGATGTTTCTGTCCCTCCAAATAGGCTTCAGTTTTGACAGCGCAGCTGTTGTTTGCGCGATTCTGGAGAGAATTTCTGGTCTTGAGCCATCATCTGAGACGATAGATCCGAGGTATTTGAAGCTGTTGACGGTCTCAAGTTTCTCGCCCCTGACTTCGATGTCCGCATTGATGCCATTGGTGTTATTGGTCATTAGCTTGGTTTATCTCTTCAACATCTTCCTAGAACCAATCACGACTGACACTCTGGAAGACCACAACTGAACAATCAGTATTGGAGGCAGGAAATTACTAACTTGCGTTTTGCCGATGACATCGATGGATTAGCAGGATAAGAACAGGAGCTCGCCACACTAGTGGAGCGGCTGGACAAACACATTGGAGATTGACAAATGCGTAATTCGGGTACAGAGCAAAAAGTGAAAAATTAAGAGATGTACTGAAGAAAAGCATGCAGACGTCGGGATATTTTAGTAATAGTGTAAAGACAACATTTTTTTTGTCCAAACAAAACCTATAGCATCAAAACTTTGGTCAATGTAAGTCTGCAGCAAAGAGAATTGAAACGCCAATTTATACAGACTGAATCAAATGGCTTCAGATTTTTTATATTTTTTCTGAAAAATTAACACAATATTCACTGGAACTAAAACTTTATCTAATGCATGACTTAACTTAAACGGACAGCTAAAATCATTATTTGAATAAGTTGGAAGTACAAAAGTTGTTGCTGTCTCAGTGGAAAAATACAATCTTACTTGAAACACAGTCAGACTTGAAAATGACCTTGATTTTTCTCGGTCAGGAAACTCGATCAAAATCAATTACATACTTAGAAAATTTTTTTTTTAGCCTAGAATTGGTTTCCATTTCTACATTATATAGATGTCTAGTTAAAGATTTTTTATGATAGTATACAAATAGGCTGTGAGTGTGGTGAAAGTTGGGAATCACCGTAAGACTAGATTTGGGCGTTTGCACCCTTCGACCCATAAATGATTAAAGCAAACACATTTTTTTTTATTTGCCATAAAAAAAGAGCAAATTTTAAATAACATTTTCTTTTTGGGTGACCTACTTCAAAATGAATGACTATCTCAAATGATCTCCGGGGCCCTTACCATAAAATCCGCAAAGTGATAGTACACAGTAGTGTGGTATACCGTATTGTCAGAATTATTGTGATTGTGGGAGTAGCGGAAGGACAAATATTTCTACTTCATTACTTCTATGTCACATTACTCAGACAGTGAATATGTCACTTGCCACAGGCACTGTACCAAATACTTTCAAACAAGCTATCGTCATCATCATTGCCTTTCTCACCCTGGATCAGGATATAGGCCACGAACAAACACTCTCCACCTTTCCCTATCCTGGGCTAGTCGCTTGATGTCACTCCATTTCTTCCCACTTTTCTGTACATCCATTTCCTGACTCTTCTCCAGGTTCCACGAGGTCTTCCCCTTGATCTTTTACCCTGTGGGTTCCAATCTAACACTTTTCTTGTTATGCAGCTGCTTGACTTCC